TCTCTCTCTCTCTCTCTCTCTCTCTCTCTCTCTCTCTCTCTCTCTCTCTCTCTCTCTCTCTCTCTCTCTCTCTCTCTCTCTGTCTCTGTCTCTGTAGGGACGGCCCTGAACGTCCCCCCCTCGCGCCAAGCCCCCCCGAGGATTACCCTACTGTGTGTCTGGGTGCTGCTAGTACGCCTTCCGCCGGTAAGGCACCGTGGAGGGGCAAAGGGTTTTTTTTTTTCGGGGGGGTTGTGCACTGCACAGAAGCTGCCCCCCCCTTGTTCAGGGGGCTAGTGCCACAAGGGCTTGGGTGACCCTATTTTCTTTCTCCCCCACTGTCTTTGTACAAACATGCTTGCCGGGTATAAGTAACCGAGCTGTTGCCCCCCAGAATAGAAGGGGCCAGTGCAAGGAATATGAGCGAGAGCGATAGACAGAAAACTGAGAAAACCAAGTTGCAAAATCACGAAGTAGTCCAGATAGTCATGTACCAAGCAGAGAGCACAAATGCACCAAGATACCATCCAAACAAGAGTAATAAAATGAACTCGAGTGCTCATGTTGATGCTCTCTGGTCACACCAACACTTTATCCAATGTCACTCTTATTGTCTGGTGCCCAGCACCCTGTCCACACTACTCAGTCCATCTGTCCTATCTAAGTTCATGCGACTGGCACACATCGAAGTCGACGACCAATGTACGGGACGTCAACACCAATGCCAACCACCAGAATACACCAGGTACGTTCTCTCTCCTCCCCTCATCACCCCTTGGTTCCCCTCTGCATGCGCCTCCTACCCGAAGACCACCATCGCCAACACCTGCTACCTCGCACGCTTGGCCCGGCTATGGCCGCCGTGCGTCCACTGCCACCGCAGCGCCCTCTCGCCTTTAGTGCCCGCATGCGCCCCAGCCTGCCTGCATAGCGCAGTATCGCACGACAAAGCAGCAGCGTGGAATGCCTGCTCAGGCCAGAATATCCCACCCCTGGGGCACACACTTTCCTTTATGGATTGTGTGCCCACTGTTGGCTGGCCTGGCGAGGCTTGTGGGTGGGCCCAGTAGCTTGACTCTGGCCCCAAGTGTCTGAGCCCAGGTCCAGTTTCGGATACTGGCCTGGGCCCTCATGCATTTAGGCATGTCCAGGCAGCCACCCAGCCTCCAAGTGCTCGCAGCATTCTCATTGGCTCGCGGCACATGTGTGACGACAATGCTGCTTTCTCATTGGCCCGCGGCCAGTCCATGATGTGTCGGCCTCATGCAGCGTCTGCCCAGGGCGCAACCACCTGAGCCCTGGGCTCAACCGTACAGTGCAGCCCTTGCTTCTGGAAAGAGCCTGGAGGCTCACGTTGCTCTGTAACCAACTGGCATGCTGCAACTGTCTGAGTCCCCACATATGGAAAATGTCGAAAACAAGCCTCACTTGAATCTTCAGGCCCGCCTTCACTTAGGACGGGCACGAGGCTTGCTGGGGGGTACAGCCCAGAAGGGCCAGAACTGTGTGTCCGAAAATTGATTCAACGCGGGTTCCACGTTGAAAGATTCAACGCGCGTTGACACGGCATTGAATCCCCATTAAAAGCCCGTTAGACGGGTTACAGCAGGGTTCACAAACATTTTTTTCACGGGCTAAAAATAATCCAAAATATATATCGTCAAATGGGGTTGTAG